CATGAATTACTAACATGAACAAACAATTAGTATTACTTTTATTATGTTATTTATTTATCCTAGCATTATTTAATGCAATTTAATTAGTTCAAGTTTCATGTTAACTCACAGTTCATTAAGTAATGTTATCAAGCACAACTTTGGATTTAATAATGTTTTAGTTTATGTTGAGCAATGATTAATAAATGCTTTAAAGGATTATTTATACTTAATGTTAGTAAATACTTCACATTAACCAACATTAATTAATGGAGCATCATTCTAAAGTATTACCCATTCATTTGTTCATTCGTTTATTAAAAATGGTAAATGTAAAATTATTATCCTTTTATAATTAAATGAACAACAAAATACAAATTATTAATTAAATTTATTCATATATATTTTTAGTTATACTATTTTGCATTGCTAAAATGTTTAAGTATTATTATTATTATTATTATTATTATTCTCTTCTTTGGCCTTAGTCCCGAATGGTTGCGGGGTTGCTCTTTGGAACAAGTCTTGCATTTAGACTTATCCATATGATAAAGACTTTTTTACACATTCCGGCCGGCCTGTCGTCTGGGCCTGTCACCCTCATACACTAATACACTCATACACTACGAACAATTTAGCTTACCCAATTCACCTGTAGCATGTCTTTGGACTGTGGGGGAAACCTGGAGCACCCGGAGGAAACTCAAGCGAACGCAGGTAGAACATGCAAACTCCTCACAGAAATGCCAACTGAGCCGAGGTTCGAACCAGCGACCCAGCGACCTTCTTGCTGTGAGGCGACATCACTGCACCACTGCTTCGCCCAATAATAATAATAATAATTATTAATAGTATAATAATAATAATAATAATAATAATAATAATAATAATAATAATAATAATAATAATAATAATAATAATAATTATTATTATTATTATTATTATTATTATACTTATAATAGTAATGTTATTAATAATAATTATAAATATTATAATACTAATAATACTAACACTGCTACTACTACTACTACTAATAATAATAATAATATTTTTTATTATTATTTTTATGATTATTTAAAATAAATCAACAAATACCAAGATAAGTACATTATTACTGGCCTCATGCCTGTAATATATATTTATTTTTAATTATTCAAAAACTAGCAATTGTAGCCTATACAGTACAAGCAGAAAACATCATGTTGATTAGTGTAAATGCACAAGGCAGAATATTTTTAAAATGAGATTTCAGTATCCTTTGTCTTTCTCGCAGTTTGTGTTCATCATATGCTTCCATTAAGTCATAAAATTATAAAGCATTAGGGCATGGTCATAGTATCTCCGTCTGAGACAATGTCCTCCCTCAGACCCTTAATGCAAAATGGAAGCGCACAGATTCTCCTCTTGTCCTCATTCTGACAGTATTGTTTATGGATGTGTTGTGTGTTACCATTAACTTTGAATTGGCAGGAGCTGTAGTGCTCTATAACCCAAATGTAAAATACAAGCAGATCAGAGATGAGCTAATACATTAGCACTTGGCTCTGAATAATATTCCGCACGACAGTAAATGCTTTCCACTGCGGCTTAATTAACATTCCCTGCATTGTCAGAGTGCAAGTACTTTGGCTGGAGGGAATCCCTCACTTAAGAGCTTTGACAAATGTCCTCTCTGGCTGAGAAAACCCAGGAGTCTTTCGCTCACAGTTGACCTTGAAGAAGTAATGGTGTCTGGGTTCATATGGCCACTGGTGTCTCAAGCCTATCATCTCTACTCAAGACCTGACAAATAGCCTTTATATCCAAATACTTACGTTTAAAATACTTTTTCAGCAGCACACTGTAAGCAAACATATCATCATATAACTACTCTAAATATGTGCCTTATGATAACAAAAGCACATAGCGAAAACAACAACAGAAGTTAGTAAAACATCTGAACATGCCAACATTACTATTTTTGCATGTGTTCTGCAATTCACACTCCAGTCAAATCAGGCAGTGATTATGTATATAGAATTTTGTGCAATAGATTACTTTAAAGCAAACAGCTATTTACAGTGCTATAGAAGAAATCAGGGATAAATATAACTTTAGTTCCTGCCAATAGTCAGTTGTTGGCAAACATCAGGCCACCTGTAGCATGGCTGGGTTCAGGTTGGGTTGGTGTCATGGTCATCTGTGAAAGAGATTGTTCGAAAACTATTTAAGGTGCAACAGCAAAAAAGCTGTTCTACTCTCTTACCTGGAGATATCAATGTCTAATAAACTACAGTATGATAAAGTACATATGATTGTGTTCTAAGAGATCATGTGATGATAAAAATTTGTGTGAAAGGACAAACAAAGCTGCTGAACACATTGTTAAACATCTAAAATGTTGTTTCGGTTCTCAAAAAATGCCCTAAACATTTCAATATTAATGTTATTATATTATTACTTACCTCAAGAATTGTCAAGAGCATCTGTGCTCTGCGTCTCACACCTTCAAAAGCCAACCCACGTTAATTGCATGTCAGCATTGTCTTCTGAGTCACAAGTCATTAATTAAATAAGTATAAGATTCACTCAGCTTCTCCTACCGCAGTAAATTCCATTTTTATTGTTGAATCTTGGCGCCAGATAATCAGGAAGTGAAGATTTTGTTCTCTTTGACTCATTGGATGGAAACGGTTCTTTATTCGCAAAACTTTTATGCTGTGTTCTAGTTTTGTGCATAAAGTTAATTTGCATTTTTGAGTGGAAAGTCAGAATTATTAGCCTCCCTGTTTATTTTTCTCCCCAATTTCTGTTTAACACATTTCTGAACATAATAGTTGTACTGACTCATTTCTAATAACTAATTTATTTTATCTTTGCCATGATGATAGAATATATTATTTGACTAGATATTTTTCAAAACACTTCTATACAGCTTAAAGTGACATTTAACAGGCTTAACTAGGTTAATTAGGTTTAATAGGCAGGTTAGGGTAATTAGACAAGTTAATGTATAAGGATAGTTGTTCTGTAGAATATTGATAAACAAATTAGCTCAAAGAGGCTATTAATTTTGTCCTTAAAATTGTGTTTAAAAAATTAAAAACTGCTTTTGTTCTTGCCGAAATAAAACAAAAGCAACATTTTCCAGAAGAAAAAAATATTATCAGACATTACTGTGAAAATTTCCTTGTTCAGTTAAAAAATAATTTGGGTAAAATTTAAAAAAAGGAAAAAAAAGAAGAAAAAAATCAAAGGGGGGGCTTATAATTCTGACTTCAACTGTAGGTGTGGAATCTTAGTTGGCATCTGTAGTCTTTTTGGTGTGCTCTAGCATAGCTTTTTTAGGCAAGACAGGAGGCGTAGGCACAGGCTAGGGTTGGGTCGATAGATGATGCCAATGTCCATCTTCGATGGCTAATAGACATCACAATGCTGAGCTGACATCGTGATCCTTCACCCCACCCCCGTCGCAGCGGCAACCCACTCATGAAAAATACACATGGCCCCGTTTACACTAATACGTCTTTGTTTTAAAATGACATTTTAGAACGAAAACGATCCACGGCCACACTGGCGTTTCATCTAGCATTTTTGAACAGCTCTCTATCTACACTATATTGCTAAAAACGCACATCTCGTGACCACACACATACACAAACACACATACACACACAGGCATGAGCTGCAGCATACGCGCACGTCTGAGCTCCAGGCAGTCAGCGCAGCCGGTGCTTTGAGCACAAAACTATAGAGAGCAGTGCACTCAGACAGTTTATCAAGGATGTATTACTGGATCGCATCTCACTATAGTTATTAAACATGATAACGACTCTTATGTCTTTTGAATCTATAACGTATCCCATCGTCAGTACACTGATTCAATCTTTCGCTCTCATGCTTGTACTTTGAAAATTTAGCGAAAACCTCAGATACTGTTGGTTGGCTTCTGTTGGTTGTGCACCTTTTTTACTAACCAAGTTGGTTGACACCTTTATAACAACACAGATCACTCTGCCTATTCATGCCAGAGTCCTGCGGAAAAAAGGGATTGACAGGTGGCAATTTGTGTGTTACTTATCTTTATTTATTTGTGATTTGGTTATGGGTAAATCAAAGACCCTGCGGGTCAGATAGTTAATAGAAATGGTGGGCTACAAATAATTAATTCACCGCTGCCTACAATGATGATGCTATCGTCAATCGTGATATTTTACATTAGACATCGTACGATGCCAAATTGGTCGACATTGCCCAACTTTACCTCAAACCAAACCTGCTTATTACCGTGTCCCCACAAAAACAATGGTTATTCAAGAGTTTGTTTTTAGTGAAGTTTTTCTTTGACACGTTTTTGTTTTTAAATTCCTGAAACATAAAAATCTATTTGGTTTTGGCTTCATTTTGAATAAAATATTGTAACAAAAGTAGCTAGATTGTCATCAATACACTATTTTGTTCGTTAGGTTAAGAAATGTACAGTCAACTCTGGTGAAAAAATGCTTAGAAGCCAAGAAAATATGTAGAATATATTTTTCCTCCACTAATAATAGATTCATCTCACTACACAGAATAACCCTTTGAATGACTTATTTACTCAATCTAAGATCAATGACACACTGACTCGCTGTTGATGCTGTATTCACATTTATCAAATGCAAGCTCCTTATTGCATTATTACTTTAGATTTAAATATTTTTATGCAAAGCACATGCTGAGTAACACAAGTGAAGGACTAGCTGAGGATTTGTGTGTATGGACTTGTGTGAGTTGGCTGTTTGTGCACACTCAGACTTCCTAAGATCACCAAGTAAGGATGAGTCAAGGCTTATATGGACACACACCATGCTGTGACATCAAACTGGAAATGTAATATTCATCTGCATATGCCTTTTTAAGGTTTTCTTTTTTTTTCGTTATAAGTTGTCAATTTAGTGTGAGCTAAGTTGTTTATCCTGATAAAGAGCATTTTTTGCAAAATCAGAATTGCAGCATTTTAAGCTTTTGCTAACCTTTTGGTTATTTCTGTCTTCCCCCCTTAGGACTTTGATGATTTCATCTTTGCTTTTTTTGCCGTGGAGATGGTAATCAAGATGGTTGCACTGGGTATCTTTGGGAAAAAGTGTTACCTTGGAGACACCTGGAATCGGCTAGACTTCTTCATTGTGTTGGCTGGGTAAGTTCTGAAATCACTTCCCTCAAACTTTTACCTTTTTTTTTCCAAGTAAAAGCTGGGATTTATATAAACTGTGTAATATATAAGAATGTGTGTCATGAAACACAAATGGAGTATTTGATTTATGATTGTAGCTTCTCTCTTTTATATTGAAAGTTCAAATTTACATTTAAAATACATGAATACATTTGTAGAATTTCAATAGTTAACTCGGATTTTTTTTATATGTTTGATTTCAGTAAATTATGAAACTGTTATCATATGGAGCAATACATAACAACAATTTTCCTTTGATTTTTCACAAAAAGGGGATAGAACACAAATTTAGATCAACATCAGAGCTTTTTAAAGGTGCAATAGGAGATCTTGGAAAATGAAAACTTTAGCCTGACAGTAGAGGTCTGCGTGGGACTGATTTTTTTGTTCCTCTTCCACCTGCTCCCACAAGGTTTTATTCAGCACCCAACCCAAGGTTTTATCCTGCTGTATATTCAGCCATTGATTACCCGCTGCCAGTTAGAATAATTTTTTTATCTGACCCGACTATTTCCGTTGAATTTAGATCTGGTTTCCAAAATCTCACGTTTAATTTGGGTACTACCAAAAGAGTGAAATAAAACTGTAGGTTGTGCAAGGATTGTAGACTAAATGTCAGTTTTGTTTGCTCTTTTGTGATAAAACATGAGTGACCTTAGGTTCCAGTCTTGTGACTGCTAAAAGGTAAAATTTGAGGTATTATCACAAATCACATATTTCATTTTCGTCTATGATGAACGAAAAAGACTCCCATATATCAGACTTGCCTAATGTGGGTTTCCTAACAGTAAACCGACCATTTTCTAATGCAAGCTGAAGGACAGCACATCTATACTTTGCTCTGCCGTAGTAAAGCGCACTCTGAGGATTGTTATGCAGGCACAGACTGTGTAAAAAAAGCATGTGCAGATAACACTGGTCATGCATTCAGCATGTGTAACAGTGGTATATGTACAGAGTATTATTCATGTTATTTATTAAATTACCCAATAAATTGTATTTTTAAATGTCTACCCCTACCCCAACCCCAACCGTCACTGTGCTGTAAAAATATTAATTATTGTTATACAATGCATACCTGTCAACTAGGGATATGAAAATAGGGGTTCTTATGCTTTATATTTCTTTTTATGCTCATTTAAGACAAAATTTGTTGTGTTTTAAAGAAAAACCATTAAATCGGCATCTTTAGATGTTATTATTATTATTATTATTATTATTATTATTATTATTATTATTATTATTATTATTATTATTATTATATGTATACATGTCTGTCCAAACACCAAAACCTAGATTGTCCACTTTCTTTCCGCTTCAAATCACATCCATTTGGGAAACACCGCTACATTGAGGATTGCATTGGAGGGGCAACGGAGCCATGGAAAAGAAGGAAATCCTGCCGTTTTTATATTTATAAGTGTTTTCAAGTAAATAAAATATTCTAAATAAAATGAAAGCACAGAACAGATTCACATTTAAGCCCTTTAATGTTTATTGCCACCTTTCATAGAAAGATTGAAAATTCAGGACAAAATACGGAAAAAAATCTTTACTGGATAAGAGTGGGATAGAATTGTAAAAAACGAGAGAATGCCAGGAAAAACAGAACAGTTGACAGGTATGCAGAGTGTCACAAAAAGTGATGTCATATTGATGTGCGCACTGTATCTGCAGCTGTATCCTATCTAGACTTTACTATGTTTGCCTGCCATTCTCTGTAATGGTTGCTATACTGTAAGTATGCATTTTGGAAAAATGCTTAAAAAATTATCGATACATTCTGAGCAAAAATACTTTTATTTCGTTTTGCTCATGGCTGTTTTTCATTAAATTCCATTATAATGGCATTTTTTGATTGCAAAACCGTGACACCAGCTAATCATGCTTTCTTGATTATTGCTGTTTTTCACTTTTGGGAACAGTACACAAAGGTTAAAGTCAATTGTATTTTTAATAACAGAGTTGGTTCTTCCGGTTATCATACTATTCTTCTGAATTCCATTACACTGGGTTAGCAGCAGGAATTATATTCTTCTGTGGTTCTTTGTAAGTGTCAAAATAATTTTGGTTACTTTGTACAGTCTGTATATATGTGTGCATCCCAAGTCTTCTAAAATAGTGTACACAGTTGTGAGGCACTTTAGTGTGATCAATGAAGATGGCTTTGTAAACACCATAAAACAATGTGACTGGTATTGAATACACACGGTTAGCTGTGAAAATGTGCACCCTGGGAAATATAGTAAAGAAATGAATCCAGATCCTCAACTATTTTTCAGAGGTCACTAAGGTTAGGAAAGACAATCCCCATAGTGGGAGAAAGATTTGCGGTTTGTTAACCATAATACAAACACTCATGCTCACAAATGCTTATGTGTTCACATCCTCATGCACATAAATTGCGTTCATTATCAACTTTGCTGGCTTCGTGCTTTCCAAGAAACACAACAACTTCCATTTTTGCTTTTGAAGCTTGTCAGTCCTGACTCAGTGACAGCATGTGGTTTTTTTTGCCAGATTTACTACCTCTGACCTAACCTCAAGTGTCTTGTTGGTAATCTCATAGGATTATTTGTTGAGATGGAAATCAGCCCAGCATATGGAGCGTATGGAAGCACATTCAGGAGGCATTAGCCAAAGTGTGTACACAAGATAACCATAGAAGAGTGACAGACTGCTGGCTTGTTCCTCCGTTGGCTTAAAATGTAGTCTCCCCCCGGGTGTTTGATAGTTCTCCAGATGCAGTGCTTACCATCAAAACATGCAGTAATTTGTGATGGAGAGTATCATCTTACACATGCTAAGCAGTCTGATCGCTTGTGAAACTGTCTGAAGAATCTGAATCTTCTGAAATGTTTGGCTATTGCCTTTACAAAAATGTAACATGATATAGACAGTTTATGCCAAGTTGTGTACAGGTATGTGTATGGTTTTTTTGCTGATGTGTACCTCTGTTCTAAAATGATTTGCCATATTAAACTTATAGTATTGTGGTACAAATCTAAAAACATCATGCTACCATAGCACTGTGTTAAAAGAATATGCTAACACTTAAGAATAAGCTTGTGTTAGCTAATGTTAATATGGGTGTTGTTACAAACTGTCTGGCTCTAAACAGTCTGCAACATACACTAAAAAAAATTATTTATTTTTTGCTCGTTCAAACTAATTTAAAATGAGCTTGAAACAACACAATTCTTGAGATTTCATTAGGACAACTTCATCTTTTTTATGTTCAATCTACATAAATTTGTCGAAAGTGTTAAATTAACTTGATTAATTTGTGTAAGGACAACATGAATGACTTGTGTGGAATTCATTCATGAATTCATTCATTCACTCCTGCATTTTTTTACTGTGTAAACAATGAGAATGTGGAAGTCCACAATAATCAAATAATAAAAGAAAAGAGAATAAAAAAAAAGTAATTTAAACAAGCATGAAATTCAAAGTAAGTAATCTTTCAAACAAACAAAAAGTCTGGTGCTGGTGGAGACTGATCAGACAGCTCAAGCCAAAAACGCAAGCTTCTCCTGATGGAACAATAGAGGGATCCTTTTATCATGCACTCGGCAACACGAAACACCTGCACTCCAACCTACGCACATAAGGGAACAAGTGACCTCAAGACAAGAGCACCATCTAGTGGACATCCCAGCACCAGCAAAAGAAAAGAAAACGAACCCATAACAGTTTATTTAGCCAACACAGGCTAATTGTGGACTCTTACCACGTCTACACTTCTGGAGAGCGTGACTTTTGTAGCCAGTGGTACGCTTTAGCTGCATTTCGTCTTTAAAACAAACGCTACAGGCTGGTATGAGGTCACTGATGGCTTCTATTTAATTTAGCACAACCGATTGACCACTTACCTCCGTACAGTCTGCTTTTTACCAGTTTGCTCAGTAGCTTGCTGCATTCGTCAGGAAACTTGGGATGCGGATCGAGGTTAACCGCGTCAACGGGGTCGAGTTCGGGGAATAACGGTTCTAGAAACCAGGTAAAACAAAAGCAAAAAATAAATGAATAACATGCTGAAAAGGTGGTGAAATTACTTTCTATATTGCTTTTGAAAACACTATCGGTTTCGGGAAGGTAGTGAGTGGGTCAGTCGATCAATTAATTTAGTCAACAACAGGCCGGCCTGCTTGGCTGAAATGTATATTGCGCCTCTGGTGGATTTATGCAAGAAGGCCCAAAAGGAATTTGTGATCATCAAAAAGTGTAAACAGCGGCCTCCGGTAGATTTGTAAAAACAAATACTGCAAGCAGACATACCACATATTTCACTGTCTGCAGAAATGTACACCTGGGTACATATCCACGATGAGCTTTGGTTGTATTTAGTACATAAGCAAATAAATGAACAATACATTTAGTTAATGGAAATAAAGTTGTTGATGGTTACTCACAATGCATTGACTTATTTTAAGAAGCATACATTTGGATTTTAATTATGCATTAGTAATTGTTGCTGTACAAGTATTGTTCATGATTAGTTCGTGTTAGATAATCCATTAACCAGCATTAACTAATGCAACTTTATCGTAAAGTGTGACCAAAAATATTAGCATAATATTAAGGGTTATGCATAAAAAGTAAATTCTTCGAGTTTATCTTGAACTTTAGATGTTTACTGCAGCTATGTTTACATATGAAAAAGGTGTTTTCGTATTCTCAGTGTAACAAAATGACACTCACAGGACAAAAACACATAAAAATATAAATAGATATACTTATTCTATGTAATACTTACTCTCAGATACATTGTAAAGGAATAAAAGTGTTGTTTTTTCTCTTTTGTGTCAGCTCGATATTGTTGAGTACTTGAATTTGAAGGGATAGTTTCCCCAGAATTAAATGTATTCACATTTACAGTGGTCCCTCGCTATAACGCGGTTCACCTTGCGGTGCAACAGTTCATTGTGTTCTGTATCTTGATTGGCTGTAGATCAGTGACT